TACCACATCTCTCTACCATATAAAATCATACCACATTTATTTACCATATAAAATCATACCACATTTATTTACCATATAAAATCATACCACATTTATTTACCATATAAAATCATACTGAATAGTGCTTGAGACTACATATCATAATTACACAAAGAATAGTTTTACTAGAATAAAAATTTCCAAAGTCCTCTACTACTGAACAAATTTCTAACACACACCTTCATCAAACTTCTGGTACAACTGATCGACGTGGGCTCTGTTTCCCGGCACTCTGTAAATACCTTCAGAATCCAGCCCCTCTTCCTCAATAAACCCAATACATTTTTCTACAAACAATGGAATTTTATTTTCCTCTGACTGAGCAAAGCTTTCCAGTCCTTGTACAACTTGGTTTGTGTTAGCTCCCTTTCCTTGAGCAGTTTTCTTCTTTTTCTTGTCTGTCAGCCGCTTCTGTTACATTCAAGAGAGAAGTGTGTAAGAAACTTTATTATTTGGAGTCGAGTGGGGATACATTTCTATATGAAACAGTTAACTTGTCACACTGAGTTAGGCTTAGTGTTAGGCTTAATACAAAACTCCATTAATTTGATATTGAACAAATGTTTTACGTCTCATTCTCATAGTAAATATTAGTGTTATTAAAATCTGATAATAACACTTAGTAACATTCACTTAACATCTTTCAAATAATAAGATATTCAAGTTGTTCCCTCATTTTTAAATGGTTATTTCTCTCCTATTTGACATAACGTAAGCCTAAAATATTAAAAATAGTTAGTACAAGAATCAGTTTGTGAAAATGTTTCCAAGTTTCTTTAAATGAGTACACTGTTGTACAAACAATATAAATCAGTTTTATACTCGCGCAACCATCAATAGACAAGTTTTATATTACACACACCTCTTCCTTCAGTCGACGTTTCTCTAACTTTTCATCCTCTCGTAGTTTCTTATCTTTCTTTCTAGATGTTTTCTCTCCATCTTTAATCATTCCAGATTTCTGTAAAATACAAGTTCTTAGAGAGAAAGCAAGGTTTATAATTACTGATGACATACTGATCAAACTATAAAACTACAGGAGAAACTGAATTAATAAAAAACAGGGAGGTTCTGGTCAAAAGCTGAGGGAAAAACATGATGCGACTTAACCTTACTTCAATACTTAATTTAAAGCATCAGACATGACGTGACTTAACCTTACTTCAATAACTTAATTTAAAGCATCAGACATGACGCGACTTAACCTTACTTCAATAACATAATTTAAAGCATCAGACATGATGCGACTTAACCTTACTTCAATAACATAATTTAAAGCAAACATGATGCGACTTAACCTTACTTCAATAACATAACTTAAAGCGAACATGATGCGACTTAACCTTACTTCAATAACTTAATTTAAAGTATCAGACATGATGCGACTTAACCCTACTTCAATAACTTAATTTAAAGCATGATAAAATCAACCTAATAGATAACCATTTGATATTTTACATATCTCAGTACAGTACTATGAACACACATTTTGATATACATGTAGTGTTCATAACACTCACAAGGCAAGCTTGTATAATTATAATAATTTATTCAATACTTATTATAACTTTACTTTTATCAACAGTTAGTGTTATTAAGTATGAGTATACAAGCAACATATGGTATTAAATTTCATGCATATGGTTGTCTGTATGTATGAACCACCAAAAGTTAATACATTCATGTAACTTACTTTTGTTACAAAAACATGGCCCAGCTACAAAGTTTTGGATTTTAAGTAAAACAAAATGCTAGTTACACTTACAACAAATTCTCCTTTTATTGTTATGAGCAGAAATGCCGAGAAAAAGTGGTACCATTTATTGAAAAAATAACAGTATAAGAATTCCAGTTTCTCGGTACAATATTTACAAATAACATCACCTACAATATTAGTGAAAGTTGTGTTCTTGTGAGGAGAGTAATTTTATTTAAAATTCTGTTCTGTTATAAAGAAATGGTTGTTGCTCATACCACACTTATTTTTCTGGTTGTCTGAAAGTGTGAAATTTTTTATGGATTTTTGTTTGCAGTGATATTCAATAGATGGTGGAGATTTGGTTACACACATACTAACATATATATGCTACATCAACTACAGTAAGATAATTATTATTTTTGAATAAAATACTACTACTATTACTGTCTTTAAAAAAATCACTACCATTATTATTGTAGTTAAGAAATTAACACATAAGACATTCACCCTCATCATAACTGCTGGATCTTTGGGCGATACCAACTCGTATCCAGAGTTTTCCTCTGGAGGAGGCATACAAAGGGAGCTTTCAATTTTGAGTTTTGCTGGAAAACAAAAACAAGAAACTCTTAGATATATTGCATATTTAATTATATGAAAAAAACTATTTTCTAATATTACTACTAGTACAAGACTCGAAAAAAATTAAAACTTTTAACAAACAAAAACAACATTTATATACTGTAATTCACACAGACCAAGAACATTCCACTCTACAGAAGATGGTTATAGATGATGATCACTAACTGTATGAAGAACTTTCAATACTTCTGCTGCAAACCACACTTAATGTAAAGGTGAATTTGTTCAAGTTGTTTGTAAATAATAATCACAGGATTTCTTCCTCTCAACAAGAGGCAGAGTAACGTTTTTGGGCAACGGGGCAAGGAACCAGAAATTCAAGTTAACGCTTCTTGTAAGCGTCACATCATGCATGTGTTGTATTTACCATACGATGGTAACTTATTTCAGTCAGTCACAGTTTCAGAGTGGCTACACCATCTTGCCAGCACATGCTAATTACCTCTTCTTTGTTATTTTGATTGTCAGATCAAATTAGGCAACATTTCTTCAGAGTCTGTTTGAAAATGGAGATCTTGTTTTCATCTACTGATCTGTAAATTGAAATCATCACACTTCAATGCATTCTACGTCCTACACAAGTTTCACCAAAACCGACTAACTCCTGCATTTTGTAGATCTGACCCTCACCACCCATAATTGGACTTAATTTTTCACATAGACAATGTTCATAAAACCTCATGCCTGGTTCAAGTAGCCACTCTTCACGAGTCTGTCAGAGCTAAATAAAGATATAAGATAATGCATGGGTGAACATGAGAAGGAAAAAGAGTCGGTATAATGTAGGTACTTTCACTGACACTTGCGAATGAAACTTAGTAGAGAAAAGACTTCAAATTTCTACCATGAAAGAAGCCCAATTTGGTTTGTACGTGATCTTCAATAAGAGGCTGAACACAACAGTTTTACAGAACATAAATCAATGATGAGTCAGGAATAGAAAAAATGCTGGTGCAGTATTATGGGTATACAGCCACATCAGAGGCTACATTCTGTTACAGAATGACATTAATCTCTATCTGAATGAGTTTTAATACATTTATTTAGTTTATTACATTTTGCTTACAATTAATGATTCGTATTACTCGTACGCTAGGAAAATCTATGAGGCTGACCACACAATAAACACCCAGTTTTATATATGGCACCCAGTCACCTACTATAATAATTGTTTTTAGTAAAATCTTGAATACATAAACAACAATGAACATTGTTTTACGTTTAGCACCCTCCTCTAGGTGGTGACACCTATAATACTTGTTTCTAATCAATTCTTTAAGGCCGATCCACGCATCCTTAAATTTCTAGGTTACATTTCTTTAGGAAGCATCGACTCCTAAATCTCCAAACCACTTTTTAATAGCAATTTTCAACTTCTGTCTCATCAACTTAAAACAGTGTGCTGCTATCATAAGATACACAGTTTACCATCTGTTCCCATCAACTTAAAACAGTGTGCTGCTATCATAAGATACACAGTTTACCATCTGTTCCCAACAACTTATAACAGTGTGCTGCTATCATAAGATACACAGTTTACCATCTGTTCCCACCAACTTAAAACAGTGTGCTGCTATCATAAGATACACAGTTTACCATCTGTTCCCATCAACTTATAACAGTGTGCTGCTATCATAAGATACAGTGTTTACCATCTGTTCCCATCAACTTAAAACAGTGTGCTGCTATCATA